TAGAAATATTCTAAAACATAAAATGTCGGCAATAAAAATTGTTTATCACTCATGCTTTTGAACTTGTTAACACTTTGGTTTCATCTGATCTTTATTATACATGTATAATTTGTGTTGAGCAAGTGGTATAAAACAAAAATGCATAGAATAATTTGCACATTTCTTTTAAATCTTTTCTCTTTTTATGAGTTGGGAGTCTTGTTACATTGCCCAGATTATTCTTGATCTCCCAGGCTGACTGAAAGGATTGTCCAGTCTCAGTCTCCCAAGTAGTTAGGACCACAGACCTGTGCTACCTCATTCTCTTGAGACAGAATTGGAAAATAGCTTTATGTTTTACCTTCCATTTATGCTTCCTACTCTGGCTTAAAATCATGATCATTGCCTTCATTTCTTAGGTAAGTACATCAACTAGATCATATAATTAAGACCTAGGTAAAATTCAGAGATGCTCAAATATCAAGGGTTATATAAAGGTGAATGTTACTTACATTCCCATTTCTCCAGCTGGGATCTACCACAATGGATTAGGTTACTATCATCAGATTTTGTACTTTTCCCTACTCGCTTCCTCGCCAACACATTAGCTCCATTCTTATTCTCTGAGGAGGTTGGAATTCATAAAGGATCGTAAGTTAAAGGTATAGAAAAGTTCTTACCTGATCAACATTTTCTTAAATGGACTTCCAACTATTATAGCCTAATACACATGAACAACTAGTCCCTGGCTCTGACCTAGAGTCTTTTAGAAGCACTCCACGTCTGAAAACCTCTCATTCCAATATCTCTGTTATTGTTATAGCCTCTCACTCTAGCAGGTGGCTTTTCTCTTAATTTCTTAGACATGTAGTGGTTCCTGCTGGATGCATGGCTTAAGCGGTAGAGCTCCTGCCTATCAATTGTGAGCCCTTGCGTTCAAACCACAGTACCCCCAGAAGACAAAGAAAAGGAACAAGAAAGCCAGTCATTCATCTCCTGCTCTCTAGCATCAACAGGCAGTTATACTGGACAAAAAACTAAATCTACCCACTATAGCCTCTCCCATGTGGGCTGCCTTAGGTGTGGGAAATGGCTGTGCCTGGGAACTTGTAAGCTCTGGCAGTGTTTGTTGATCCCATTGCAAATTCTTCTCATTTCTATACTGAAGATGCTGCCAGACCACCCATCCCTTCCTGGCAAAAGTTGTCCGCAATCCATTGTGTGCCACATCCTGAGAGTCAGGCACCCAGTTCTATGCTGGCCTCAATGAGTCCCTACTGTGTTGACTTTTGAAGGAGATGCTCTCTTTATAACTAACTGTGGAAGGAGGCCTGGTGCATAGTAAAACAACAGCTCTCCTAAGAATTCATTTCTTTGTCTAATCTTCCATGCAGATGAAAGATTTAGGAGTTGATGTCGTGGGCCCTCAAACACCCTTTTTACAAACTCTTTAAGGTGGTCTCTTTCCAACTCACTCTGGTATCTTACATCTGTCATCTTTAGATCTCAGCCAGAACTTCCATTTTAACATTCTGTCACGTGTATTATCTATCCTCAAGTTCATTCACTCTGTCGACATTCCCTGAGTGCATATGATATGCCAGATGCTGAGTTTGGCAGTGAAAATAATTGTAACCATTCCTGCCTGAAGGAGCTCACAGTCTACTTGGGGAGACTGATGTGTTAACAAAAAAGCATGGCGCCATGTCATAAATGCTCTGGGAGACAGAAGGATAAGTTCCTGGGGGAGCAAATAACTCAGTCATGGTGGGGGCTGAGGGGGGGGGGTTATATAGGAAAGGCAGCAGGAATGAGTAAGGAAAAAAACTTCTCAGTGGAATTGGTACCTGACCTAAGTTGAATCAATTATTTTTCAGAAACAAAGTAACACCTTTTCAAGCCTTTGAAATCTTGATTACAAGTATGTGTAATACTTGTAATTTCAAAGCAATTTATTTTTAAAACTAGCCAAGGTACTGTGAAGAAAGGAAGAGAGAATTCCCTGATGTCTGCCATTTGTCTTCACATCTGTTGCAGTGGGAGGGCAATAACATTTATAAAGTACCCTTTACAATACACGTTTCCTGAATCCCACCCATGAAGGCAACCCTGGAATGTTGTCTCAAGTGTGGGCCTAAACACAACCAGGAAGAGCCTCCTTCCAGGCATGTGCCAGACTCAGGGGTAGTGATAGGGGCAGGGTTTTCCCAGAAGCAAGGCAGAGGACACACGCAAGGACAAAAGAAAAGAGTGGGAAACTTGGGAACAGGGATTTCTGAGCCCATCTCAGCATGACGCAGGGCTTGCTTTTAAGTAAATCTGAGCTCAGTCTGTGAAAAGGTCCTGACACATTGTGGAATAAGAAGAGCTCTTCACATGGAGCAGAAGCAACTTCAGTAAGACACGATTGACTGTCTGCTCCTTCAGATAGCCCTTTCTTTTTTTCTTTTTTGCTTTAATTTTATTGTCAGGGTGATGTGCAGAGGGGTTACAGTTACATATGTAAGGCAATGGGTACATTTCTTGACAAACTTGTTACCCCTCCCTCATTTTCCTCCCACTTTCCTCCCTCTCCTGAATCCCCTCCCCAAGTTGTACCGTTCATTTCCAGCATAACGTCCTGTGAGCAGCACGGTTGCATTGGTTCCCCCTTTGTCCTTTGTCTCACCAGTTTGTAGTTCCCCTTCCCTTCCCCAGTTCAGATAAACATACATACAGTATCGAGGGTATCAAAATCAAATATGGTGATAATAGAGGATAAACCCTAAGGAAAAAAAAAACACAAAAGAAAAAGAAATCACATAATACCTTAAAAACAACAACAACAAAGAAAAGCTGCTATTTCCATATTTTGCTTAGCATCATCTTATATGGTCATATGTACATAGCTAATTGAGCCCTTTCTAAATGTTGTCTTTCCTCTATGGTTTCCTGGATGATCATTTTTCATCCCTTAAAAAAAAAAAATCTCTCCACTTAAGGCTCCTTTTCTTCCTGTTACCAGTGTTCTTGGTACTCTAGCATCTCTGTTCTCCCGATCAGCACCTTCTCAGCCTTTCTCATCCATGGAAGCCTAGGCAAACGTAAAACTAGTGCAGGATGGGGGCTGGGAAGGTGGCTCAGTGGTAGAGCGCTTGCCTTGCATGCCTGAGGCCCTGGGTTTGATTCCTCAGCACCACATAAGCAAAAAGAAAAAAGCCGGAAGTGGCGCTGTGGCTCAAGTGGTAGAGCACTAGCCTTGAGCTGAAGAGCTGAGGGACAGCGCCCAGGCCCAGAGTTCAGGCCCCACGACCAGACCCAAAACAACAAACAAACAAAAAAAAAACTAGTGCAGGATGTTCACACTGTCCTTGGGGAGAGAATCACATACCAGATTTCCTAACCTTAAATGATGGCTGAACAGAGGTTTAGCCACTTCTAATACAGTACTTAGAATATTTGCTTTTGTTCACACCAAATATCTTTTCCATTCTGCCTTGGGCTCCTTGATTAAAGGTCCACACCTCTCTGTAGTCCTCATGTATTGAGAGCAAGGCTTGGTGGATGAAAGGGACTGGTGCCTTTGATAAATATTCTAGGTGCTAAGATTCGGCAGACCAAGCTCCTGCCGTGGTGTAACATACATTTCGATTAGGAGCAAGAGATGGAGAGGACCGATAATCAACACAGAAATCAGGGAATATATGACATGTCAGTAGTTCATTAGTGTTACGCATATCAACCAATCATCACAGTAAGGTGGCAGAGATTATTAGAGAGACACTAACATTTTGAAGATATCCAAGAGTTCTTACATTCTATATGGTAATCAGACATTTCATTTCCCTTTCTTGCTAATATATAAGTATCTCTAGGACCAAGAGTATATTATATACAAATCTTTATTTCTAGCCAGTATCTGGTACATAGTAAGCAATTGGTAAATCTGTGGAATAAGAAGTTTTATATGTGACTCAAGAATGACTACATTCTGGACAGCATTTCAATAGCTGTTCCTAAAGCCTGGTCTGTTTTATGGTGCTTTGTTGTGCAATTGTTTGCCATATTTCACAGTAAGGTCTGTTAGACTCCAGAATTTGAGTTCACTCTAATCCCCCTAACTTTCTTGTGGCCTTAGCCTTGGGAGATTTCTAAGGAAACGTAACCCTTCTATTCATATAATGGAGTTGTCAGAATCAATGGTAGACATCACTTCATATGGTTTCCTCCCAGATGCCATAAAGAATCAGGTAAAAACCAGAATGTCCGGAAGTACCATTCCAGAACTCAGATCAATCTCAGTCTATAGATCTCACATCTATATTCACAAATTCAGAAACTGCTGGGGAAAGAGCCAAAGGCAAATCAAGGAGGCCTTAAGGACTTTATTGTAAACCTTAGGCGTGAAGGTCATTCAGGTATTATCAGTAGGCAGGTAGACAGCCGACTCAGTGACTGAATTCCAGCCTCTGTGTACAAGTAATGGGGAAGGGAGAGAATACCTCCCTGTGAACCCTGGAGGCAGCCCCAGTCTTGAATTCTAGGTGGTTTAGGCCATAGAGATCTTAGTGCACAGCTATTTCTTAAGCCCCTGATGTCCACAAATGTAACCTTACCAACTGTTCATTGGCTTTTATTCTTTTTTAAACATTCTATTTTTTTATTTTTATTTTTGCTAGTCATGGTGCCTGAACGCTGGGCCTGGGCACTGTCCCTCAGCTCTTCAGCTCAAGGCTAGTGCTCTACCACTTGAGCCACAGCACCACTTCCAGCTTTTTCTGCTTATGTGGTGCTGAGGAATCGAACCCAGGGCCTCATGCATGCAAGGCAAGCACTCTACCACTGAGCCACCTTCCCAACCCCTGGCTTTTATTCTTATTCCCAGAGAAAAATGAGTTGAAAACAAAACAATAACAACAAAAACTATGAACTGGCTGAATACGTTAGAGGGAACTAAATTCTAATGTTAATGCTCCTGCCTGTCACAGGCCCTTTGGTTTAGCCTCCCAATTCATTTCCCTGTGTTGTTTTCCATTTAACAGGAGGCAATGTCAGAAATGAGCAAAGTTGGGAAAGTTGTGTTTCCAAGACATGAAGATAAAAAGTAAGTGTTATATTTTTATGTGCACAATAATGAGCAATAAGAACACACACACACACACACACACACACACACAACTATATTGGAAACAAATTTTCAGTCAATTAATCAATCCAATTCTTTCACTTAATAGTTGAAAGAAAAAATTCCCAATGAGATAAGCTTTATCAACTCTCAGATCTGTGTTTATCCCCCCAGGATCATGGGCAGCAAATTTTTCTCCATTCTTAAAAAAGTGAGCATCGGCTAGGTGCTGGTGGCTCATGCCTATAATCCAAGCTACTTAGGAGACTGAGCTCTGAGGACCATGGTTCAAAGCCAGCCCAGGAAGGAAAGTCTGTGAGACTCTTATCTCTAATAAACCACCAGAAAACTGGAAGTGGTGCTGTGGCTCAAGTGGTAGAGCGCTCGCCTTAAGCTGAAGAGCTATGGGACAGCGCCCAGGCCCAGAGTTCAAGCCCCATGACCAACAACAAAAAAAAAGTGAGCATTGGAACTGGTGTTGTGGTTCAAGTGGTAGAGCACTAGCCTTGAGCACAAAGAGCCTCAGAGACAGTGCTCAGGCCCTGAGTTCAAGCCTCAAAACCAACAAAAATTTTAAAATAACAATAAAATAAAAAGTGAGCGTCTTTTAGATCTTCCATCAAAGGACCTGTCTATTTGTATCGCTTATTGGTGAGATTTCCAAAATGACCTTGAATAGTGTTATAACCCCAATTTAATAAAATATTTATTTTTTGAACCCTGTTATTGAGTTCCCAATATTGATAAACTGCTATAAAATGTCATGCCAAGCTCATGGCAAGATATAGAGGGTCATAAGATTTATGAATATATATTATATCAAAACAAAGGGATCAAACCTGCCATCACAGTATTACCAGGTAGTGAAGTAGTCTGGAGAAGAAGAGGAAAGGTAGATGACCCTATAAAAGTGAGGGAAAGCTTTGGGGAGGAGACTAAATCTCAGTTGACTTTAAATGCTTAAAATAAATTGCTAGACAGACCAAGCAAGGAGAAACATCCTTGGAAGAGGGAATAGCTTGCAAAGTTATAAAAGTCTCAATAGCATGGTATTTGAGGGCACTACAAATATGAGAATGCAAAAATAGAAAGTGTGAGGTAGGGGATAACAAGGAGTAGTGTGGAAAGAGGAGGCTGTTCATACATTGCTTGGAGGCCTTGCTCTAGCCCTGAAGCATCTTCCTGCTGGGGGAGTGGAGACACTGAGTTTTAAGCAGTGATGGGGGCTAGTCAGATTTTAGATTTTTAGCAAGATCTCTCGTAGGGAATCATTTTGAAAGGTCTAAAGGTAGGAGTCAGCACTCAAGATCAGCCCAGACTAGTAAGGATGTTTAAAAAGGCCTCTATTAAGTTCCTGGCAGTGAGTTGGAAGATGAAGGGACAGTTGTACAAATTGCCTTTATAATTTGAGGAAAGGATTTGAAGTTAAAACATAAAAACAAAATTTTATCTGGATATTGGTGGCTCATACTGTAATTCTAGCTATACAGGAGGCTGAGATCTAAGGATCATAGTACAAAGCCAGCTGGGACAGAAAGTCCTGAGACTCTTATCTCCAATTAACCAACAAAATGCTGGAAGTAGAGACATAGCTCAAGTGGTAGAAAACTACCCTTGAGCAGAAAAAGCCATGTAAGGACACATGAAATTTCTGAGTTCAAGACCCAGTACTGGCATAAACAAACAAACAAACAAATTTATCATGCCATATAATAGATGAGCAAAAAAAGTGCATATCTTCCAATGCATGGTCATTATTTAAGAAAGTTCAAAATGTCCATGTAAAAAGCAATTCAGTTTCCTATTATTTCTTTATCTCCAAATGGATTCTGGCTGTTAACTCCTGAATATATCCCACAACCCAATGCCTTCAAGCTAGGAGGAGCAGACTTTGTATGGCTTGATCCACCCAGGAACATGGAGACATTGAGTTCAGGGTGGCTGTGGGTGTCTGTGGAAGCTTTGGATGTCACTTACTTTTCCCCTGAAGATACACATGTGTGCGCACACACATATGCACACACACACACACACACGCAGGCACACAGACACAAATTGTTTGTTTTTTTAAAAAAATTATGAAATCAGTTGCCCTAATCTTGAAAAGATTTTTGAGGGAACTCTGTTTTTCGGCTCTTCCCACGAAGCGGTGTGTTCTCTTTTAAGAGTCTGGCATCTCCAGTGCAGCCAGGCACCCGTAGTGCTATACCGCCATCTGCAGGCAACTGTTTTTTACAAACAGGAAATGAGCCATTTTCCCTCTCAGGCTTCATGACTTCAAGTTCTATTAACCATGGGACATTGTCATAGATCTTTGCCACCAGAAGCAGCTGACTCGGCTGGAGAGACTTTAGAAGAGTGCTCAATGGACTTAGGCTCTCTTACATAGAGTCTAATTTAATGACTATAGTTTGGCAGACAAATGTTTAGGAGGATCCCAAATTTTATTCTTACGTCCAGACCAGATATATATGTGGCTCTAAAACAGTGATTTTTAAAATATCCTTAAGTCAACCAAAGTCAACCCACAGGAGAAAATATTTTGCAATTCGTTCATCTAATAATGGAGTGACTTCCAGAATATATTAAGAACTCTTAAAGTGTAACAACAAAAAGCCCACACAACTTCAGTCAGAAATGATGAAGTGGGCAGAGGGTGCAGCAGGGTGATACAGCCCTTGTCTAGCAGGTGTAAGGGACTTGGTATCCCCAGACACACAGAAAGAAAAGGAGAGAGTGGAAGAAGGAAGGAGAGGGAAGAGGAAGGAAGGAAAGGGAAGAAGAAGGGGAGAAGAGAGATAGGAAAGGGAGGGAAAGGAGAGAGAGGAGAGAAAGAAAGGGGAAAGAGGGAGGGAGGGAAAGAGGAACAAATATAAAAAGGAAGAGGAAAAGAGAAATGACAAATACTTGAAAATGCTTGACTAGGTATTTCTCCAAAGTATATAGATAAAGGGCCAGAAAAATTACTCAGTGTCACTATATGTGAATCAAAATTACAATGAGATATTACCTGACACTCATGGAATGCTCAAAGGCAACAGTAACAACAAAATAGTAAGTGCTAGCAACGGTATAGAGAAGTCGGAACCTTGTGTAGTAAAAGGATACTGAACTGTATATGGCCATTCTTCAGAAAATTGATAATAATTATTGATATGAAATAACAATTGATAATAATTGATCTGATCATTTCTCAATATGTACCCAAAGGAACCAAACATGGGCTATTGAGGAGATACAATATCTAAAATGGGAACACCCAGGTCTACATCAGTGGATGAATGCATAGCCAAGAATGATATGTACATACAATGGAATATGACTCAGTCTTTAACAGCAAAGATACTTCTGACATATACTATACCATGAATAAAGGTTGAAGTTCATGTTAAGTGAGATGAAATGACCACAAGAAGATAAATACTAGATAATTCCCCTGAAAGCCAATGAACAAAGTTGTTAGGAAGTTTTTGTTACTAAAATCAGAAACCTTCAAGTCCTTGAGAATATCCTAGCCCCTTTCTAGCAATTTTGAGGTTCCTAAGTCATGAGTCATACAGTGAAATAATGGCTTAAGAGCCTTAGCTTGTCATAGAGTATGATTAGAAGCAGAACCTTGTCCTAAAATCGTTCTGTGATCAATAAATTAACTGAGTTTGAGCAGCACCTTCATACTCCTAGATTAATTACTTATAAAGTAGTACTTACATCATTTCTCACCTAACTGGCATTTAGTTCTAAGTGTTTTTCACATGTTATGTCAAGTACTTCACACACAGCTTTCTTGAGGTAGAACGTATAGTTGTCCTCATTTCTAGATGAGGACATGGGCACAAATTGATCAAGTAATATGTCTGAGTCACATCGCTAGTCATGGGGTCATGTTTTATGTTGGCTATGTGTTTAACCCCATCACAGCTTTTACATTACCTAAATGCTTAAGGTAGAAATGTATGGGAAGTCCACGTTTCTGTATCTATCCAAGGTTTCTCTGACAACTTTTCTCCCCCAGTTCACAGCTTACAGAAAATCCTTCAGGTGTGCACTCCTTTTTAGAGTACTGCCGAATGTACCAAGACATCTTGAACTGGTTTCATCTATCCTCTCCCTAAGTAAGCTCCCCTCAAGCAAGAGGAGTAAGGACTAAGTTGCAGGACTTAAGTATCATCAGTCCAGGCTGCTGTTATTCCCTTCAGGATTTTGATTCCAACGCAGCTCCAGTTAGCTACTCTGCCGCATGTTCTTTTATGACCAGTGTCAGTACTAATAAGTCTCACCTGAAGAGTCAGCCTGAGAACACAGAGAAAAGTCCAGACACCTGGAAGGCTGGACATGACTTCATGAAAGACATCAATTATATTTCTATTGAGGTTTCACTCAGAGCATTTAGTTGTGGAATCCACAAGACGTTTTAAGGTGTTTGCCCTCACCCCTGGTCATACTGTGTTTGTTAGGGCTATTTTGTGGGGGGTGTTAGCAGTACCTGGGTTTTGAACACAGAGTCTCATACTTACTAGATAGGCACTCTACTGCTGAGCCACACCACCAGCATTTAGGCTAGGGTTTTGATCTGTGACTAGTCATGTTGGAACTGTGTATTGAATCTGTATAGGTGAAGGAGCCTGTGTGGTGGAGACTTTGAAGTCACATGATCTGAGCCTCACTTCCAATCTTGCTAGTATTTACCTGTACTCTTCGGGTTGATTTCCTGAGAAAATATCCGTATCTCAAACATGGAGAAAATAGCACTTCACACAATTGATAGGTAACAGGTTTTAAATGTATCATTCTGTTGTTCATGATTCCGTCTGTATCTAACACCTGGCTAGTATCAGCATAAACATGACAGATTTATTCACACCCTTCTAAATGTAAGAGAAAGACACATGACAGCTTTGTCTTGAGATTGCTCAACATTTGCATATTTCTCCCACAGATATTATGACAAGAAATATCAAGTATTCCTGAAGCTGGTTGAACACCAGAAGGAGTATTCAGCAATCATGAGTGGAGACTGAACAGGGCTTGCAAGTGCAGAGGCCAGAAGTTCTGTGTCACTGCCTTAGGGGCTTCTGTCTTTCCCTTTTATATTCTTGATGCAGAAAGGTATTATTTTATCATTTCTGTATTGTCTTCTAATAATAAAAATAATGACATGCACAACCAAAGATAATCTTCTACTTCAAAATACCAGTATTATTTTGGTTCTTTTTTTTTCTATAGGCACTTAGATTTGCACTTGGTGGACAGGCATATTCAGTCTCTAGACAGACACTAGCATGGTGCCAAGACTTTTACATGGAGTCATAACATTTCATGTAAGATTAGATCATGGTTATCATCAAAGCCAGAGGAGCTTGTATTTGTTAATTGATTCTGTGTTAGACAACCAGTGAAAGATTGCTTTAGGTAGGATAAGTAATATGCACTGTGTGTAAGATTCTTTTTACTTGTTTTGTTTTCTTGTACCAGTACTGGGACTTGGACTCAGGGTCTGGCACTATCCTTTAGCCTTTGTTTTGCTCAAGGCTGGTGCTCTACCACTTGAGCCAGAGAAAGACTTCTGTATTGGTCCAGAGATAAGTCTCTGGACCTTCCTGCCTGGACTTGCTTCTCACCATGATCCTTAAATCTTAGCCTCCTGAGTGATGAGTATTACAAACTTGAACCACCAGCACTCAGCTATATTGTGCTTCCTTTGGCATTTCCCTTGCTTATACAGGATATAGTCTAGGGTCAGATGTTACATTTAATTGCAGAATAATCATTTTGCAATCATCCTATTAAAGGCAGGAATCATTGATATAGCCAGGAGAATATTTTGATGAATAACAGGATGTATGCATGGTATTAAAATGTTTCTTCGCAGGTTGTTTATTAGTTACAAGAGGAAAAAGAATGTTAACTACATAGGGAAGAAATGGGACATCTTGATTGGATGACCAAAATTAACTTCAGATGGCTGAATAGACAACATGTGTCTCCAGATGTGACAGCATGAGAAAGAAACAGCATCTCTCTGGTTGCGAATGCATAACTCAAATCTAATCATGAGGAAACATCAGAAAAACCCCAAATGGGTTACATTCTGTTTTGTTTTGTTTTGTTTTGGTTTAATGGGCCATTCAAAAATGTTCATGTCATAAAAACAGAGAAAGGCCTTAGGAAGTTTCTAGATTAAAGGAAACAAAAGAAATGTGATCATTTAAAAGCTTTTTAGGTAGACAAGTATTTGGAAAACTATATAATTGCTTTAGTTGATACCATGCACACATGAACACACACAGACACATATATATACATATACACAAATTCACATACCGCTTGGGACCCAAGAAGTCATGGCTGATATTTTTCTAGAGCTATCATAACTCAGATGAATTTGCATAGAAGATTCTCTGAGGTCAGCCTTACAAGTAAGCAGATAGAATAGAAAAAGCCAATAGAACAGAGTCAACAAACATCCTTCAGAGTATTTACTCTGTGTCAGGAATTGGGCTAAGCATAGTTATATGATTCTTGCCCTTGGAGTGTTCCCAGTCTAATGAAAAGGAAACAAGGAACTCAATCATGCTCCATAGTGAGAGGCTACAGAAAAAGAAAGCACCTGCTGCTCAGAGCACAGCAGTCAGAAATGGAAGAAAAAGGGTTGGCATGTGGCATGAATATCACTATAATAATATAATTGATATGCTATGATGACTGACTTGGGATTCTCATCTTGTATTTTCCTTTTCTTAAACATTTTATGACTTAGAGAGATGTCCTTAACTTTTACAAGCCTTAATTTCCTCTTTTTGTTTTGCTTATTTATTTTACCTTAATTGTACTGGGAATAAAAATTAGAGCTCAATGCTTGCTAATCATGTGTTCTACCAGTTCAATCATATAGCTAGGAATCTCTTTGGTTCTAAATGGATATATTAATAGTAGCTGCCTTACAGGGTTTTAATGAGGATTTAATGAGGTAACACATGTAAAATACTTAGCTTGATTGCCTGGCCATGCTTGTCTTGTTCCAGGGACTGGTCCCTACAAGGTAGTCAGAATGTCAACAGGAGCAGCAGACTGAGTAGGAAGGCTGTGCTCAGTTGAGAAGTCCAGCTCTGTAGTAGCATTCTTCAGAATTCAAGAAACCTTAGCATGACACAAGGTGATAGTGAATGTGGGTGTATGGTCCAACAGGCCTAATATCAAGAGAAGGCCTGTTCATTCACAGCTAGTAGACTTTAGCCAGAGAATGAGTTGGGGATGAGAGGGAATAGAGTAGCACCCCATCAAAAAAGGAGGATAAAGCAGGATCTAGACAAGATATTAGGATGAAAATCAAACCGGATTCAGTTTCTAAAGCTGATGAATTCTGACTCAAAAACTTCGGCAAGCCAGGGCCAGTTCACACAAAGCACTAATGAATGCTGTAGCTATTGTGGTTAGGACAGGCAGAGGCAGAAGAATGAATAATTAACAACTATGTGCCCTCCCTTCCTGTTTTTACCAGTCCTAACTACAGCATTGTGAGGTAGCAGCATTAACCTCACAATATACTTGAGAAAGCTGAAGTTCAGAAAAAATTAAACACATACACACACACACACACACACACACACACACACACACACACACACAACTGGCCTAGAGGCATCCAGCTGGTAAGAGATTCAACCCAGATCTGTTTTGGTGCAAAAGTTTAAGTGTTGTCCAATTGCGCAAACTGAAAAGCAACCCTCTCCCACCATGTGCTTTCTGGTTACAGGGCTCCTACTAAGACTGATGCCTAGAAGTTGGACTTCCTCACTATAGCAACTCATAGCCAAACCAATCCTGACCTTCAATTCTCATTGCTTTGTAGAAAAAGGAAAAGACATATAAATGAGGTGAAGAACTTGGTGCACTAGAATTACCTTTACATGGCCAGAACAAGGAACAACTTGTTAGAAAAACGTTGGGCAAGTCAGTTGGACAGTAAACCTCATTGGCTCCCTCTGAAATTGGGATCATCTGGTTACTGCCTTCTTTGGTCAGGGTAAGGATGAAGTGAAAAAGCTATATAGAAAGCCCTTTGCACAATTCCTTGAAGATAATAATAGGTTACCGAGTATTGTTTCTACATGGTTTTCCAGCCATGTTAATCCTCAAGAGAATCAACTACTATGGTCAAGAAAACTGTAAATATCTAAATAGATTTCTATAACCAAGTATAACTGGAAAACATAAATCATAGTTCCAGTATTCAACTCTTTGAATGGGGAAAGAAACTTTATTTAATGTACTTGCCTAAAGTATACTTAGATATTAGGAATAAGAATTTTAGGATGGTCACAGTGGTTTATGAGTTTTGTTTTTTAATCTGTTGCCTACTGTAAGCTTTTCTTTCAAACTGAAGTCAGCCTTTGATTAATCATTTTGCAAAGGAACACACTACCAGTTTCAAATTTGACCAAAAATACTTCCCATATGTGCAGAAAGCAAATGTGGCTTTCAAAAGGACCAAAAAGAACAAAAGCTCAGCAAGAAGCTGGGAAAAATACAATAAGGATAGCAGAATAGTATGAGGTACTCGAACCCACTGTCAGAGTCCACTGGAGTCCAAGTAAGGTTTCTTGAAGAGATGCCCTTGCTCAGTCAGATCCAGACTGAGCAATGATCTTTCTCTTCAGACCATAGTTATGTCTTATCAATCAAACTGGGTCATTTAGATATCTAAGGAAGTAGTGGGAAAAAAATCAAGATATCACTAGATCTGAAGAGATGAAAGAAACAAACTAGAAAATTTCGGTTTTAAAGATTAAAAGTGATCTGCTATTTCTCACAGGCTGGAGAACAGCTAAATCATTCTGCTTTTCTTATCCATTCCTTGGCCACTGGCCTGTGCACCCTTGGAGGACCCAGACTTTGAGGACCTGTGTTTTCAGCACCTAAGCAGTTCTTGGGCACATAATGGGTACTCAGTAAATAGAAAACATAAATAGGACATTAGTCAGAAAATATGTCCAAGATACCTCATTTTAGGTCAATCTTTGGTATGTATTTATGTGTCTTAATTTAAGCAACTTTCTAAATCTTAAATATGTCTTGGTCACTAAGAGATTAAAATTATGTGTCATATCTAATAACTTACTTTTATATGTTTAGTGCATTCACACATGAATAACCATACAACTTTATTTGGGTTTCTAGCTCAAGCTCAAAAATGCTTTACAAATTTTCACTGTTAACACAGACCCCATTTCTTGTATAATTTTTTTTATGGGAAACCAATTACATCGTGGTCCAGAAATACACATTGTTCACTGGGCTACAGTATGACTACTTTTTGAATTCACAGCATACTTGACAAATAATTACCGTCAAAGAAGTTAAAATGAAGGACATTATCACTAAACAAGGAACTAATGACTGTACAGAGCTGTGTAATGTAATTATACTTAAACTGGAACTTCAAATGAATTACAGAAGAATTGTTGTGTCTCTCATGTCTCCATTAATATACTTAACTGCTATTGACAGTAATTTAGGAAGGAATCCTGAATACAAAAAGCTTTTTTTTCTTTTAAGATTTCCAGAAGGAGAGGCTTAAAAATGTATACTTTTAAAGGATTTTTCCCCAAGACTTCTGAATATTAGACAATTTTACTACATTTGTAACACTAAAATAACAAGTAAACAGAAAGATTTCTGCAATATATCTAGACTTCCCAACTTTATCTATAACTCATCATTGATTTTGTTGTCAATATCCATTATGCATAGAAAATCACTTAACATTAGTTGTAATATAAATGTTCCTAAAGGCTTAATTTGTATTTGCTTAAGTCATGCATAAGCCTTAGTTTGAAGTATCCTCTCATTTAAAATCTAGAGCAAGACTGCCTCCTATTGTACAATTTTAATGCAAACTTGAAAGATGTCATATTTATTCATGCCTATTCAGATACTATCATGCCTAAATCATGGAATATTTCCTTATAAAGTTTCCAAATTTGTTATATGTACATCATCTATTCTCATACAGTGTGAGAGCCCACTTTACTGGTACAAAACCCGCATTTCCAAGAGTGTAAATAACTTTGGCCTAAGATTGTACAGATAGAGCACAGATGTAGGACCACTCTTCTGCTTCTCCCTAAATAAATTCAATTAGCTTATTTGTGCAACAGAGGATG